ACTTATGTAACTGTAACCCCTTTGTACATCATCTTGACAATAAAAATAGAAGTTCTGGTACCTTGAATTTACACTTCTAGGGCACCTATTCAGGAAAAACTGAACACATCAGGCTTAGCTGTTTATAAGACTGACCCTTAGATGGCATCTAGGAACTTGCATGTGGGGAAGAACTCCATCCTCTGATAGGAATGGACCACGGTGCCTGTACTGTTTATGCAAGGAAAATAGGTTATTCTAAGCATTTGCTCTCCTCCTGACAGTCTAGGATTTGGACACATGCCAAAGACTGCCTATGTGGCCAGCACCTGCTCAGTGCTCAGGCCACCCTGAGTCTCTAAGACACTCGCTGGTTGCCGGTATTTTTTATGTGTTGCTGTCCTAGACATTTTGGATTGCTCTAACAGAAAGAACATAGATGAGCCAGGCAGTGGTGATTCACACCTATAATCCTGGCTATTCAGAGGAAGCTGAGATCTAAGGATCATAATTCAAAATCAGACCAGGCAGGAAAGTCAATGAAACTCTTATCTTCAATTGACCAGCAAAAAGCCAGAAGTGGAGATGTGGGTCAAGTTTTAGAACACCAACCTTGAATGAAGAAGCTAAGGGATAGCACCCAAGCCCTGAGTGCAAACCTGATTTCTGGCACAAAAACCAACAGACAAACAAATAAATAACAGATGAAAGGATTAAACAGCAGAGGTTTTCATCTCACTATTCTGAAGGTTGGAAATCCAAGATCAAGGTGTGAGCCATAGCCAGTTCAGTTCCTGGGAAGAACTCTCTTCTTGCTTAGTTCACAGATGCCACCTTGCGGTGTCCTCATGGGACAGGACAGATCCCTTCTGGAGTTTCTCCCTAGAAGGGCAGTAATCTCATTCCTGACAACTTCATCCTCATGACCTCATCCTCATCATTAGGATTTGAACAGATGAATTTCAGATTTGATCTGTCTACTGTCACAACTTGACAAGACATTGTGGAGGAATTATTTTACGGAAAAGGTCTCTAGGAGTTAGTGTCTGGCTTCTTCTGGAACTCTTCCCATCACTTTCTCTTTTCCTGACTTAATTTTATATTTGTGGTCATGTAGCAGCTGTATGAGAAACCCTGGAGACCCAGAGAATCTTCAGATGTAGGCAGACGTGAGCTGGGGACTCAAAGCTAGCACTTAATTGGTGATGGTGGTAATTTACAGAACAATTGAGAACCAGGTGCAGTTGGCATTTATGTTATTTGTGGATGGTGACCCTCAGTGTCAAGTGTCATAGCAGTTTGCAAGCAATGCAAGGGAAGAAACCAAACAATTTTTCTTAGTATGGCATTTAGAACGTTTTGTCCAGGTCATGGGAGTGGTTATATCTTGCTTGCTCCAATCTTTTTTTTTTTTTTTTTGGTCAGTCATGGGGCTTGAACTCTGGGCCTGGGTGCTGTCCCTCAGCTCTTCAGCTCAAGGTGAGCACTCTACCACTTGAACCACAGCCCCACTTCTGGTTTTCTGATGGTTTATTGGAGATAAGAGTCTCATGGACTTTTCCTGCCCGGGTTGGCTTTTTTATTTTTTAAGGTCTTTTTTTATTGTGAAAATACTATACAGAGGGGTTACAATTACATGGGCAAGGTAATGAATACATTTCTTATCAAGCATTGTTGCCTCCTCCTTTGTTTCCCCTTCCCATCCCTTCCATCCCTTCCCATTCCCCACCACCTCTCCCCCTCCCCAGCCAAAGTTGTAAAGTTCGTTTTACGACATAAGGTCTTGTACATCTCATGAAATTGCAGACCTTCTGCATGGCAAAGGACATAGCTAGCAAGATCAATAGAAAGCCCATGGATTGGAACAAGATCTTCACTAGCCATACAATGGACAAGGGTCTCATATCTAAAATATACCTGGAACCCAAAAAACTAAATCCCCCTACAACAAATCTTCAAAGAAACAACTGCCCAATAAATAAGTGGGCTAAAGATTTAAAGAGAAACTTCTCTGAAGAGGAAAGAAGGATGGCCAATAGACACATGAAGAAATGCTCAACTTCCCTAGCCATAAAAGAAATGCAAATCAAAACAACATTGAGATACCACCTCACCCCAGTTAGAATGGCTATAATCAAGAATTCTAATAACAACAGATGCTGGAGGGGATGTGGACAGAAGGGAACCTTACTGCATTGTTGGTGGGAGTGTAAACTTGTTCAACCACTTTGGAAAGTAGTATGGAGGTTCCTCAAAAGACTCCACATAGAGCTCCCCTATGACCCAGCAATCCCGGGTTGGCTTTAAACCTCAGATCTCAGCCTCCTGAGTAGTTAGGATTAAAGGCATGAGGCACCAGGGCCCGGCATCTTGCTGCAATCTTTAAAGTTAAAAAATGAATCTTTCTATATGGGTGGGTAAATACTGGAATTGAATTCAAGGCCTGGGTTGTCCCATAGCTTTTTCTCTCAATCTGGTACTCTACCATTTCAGCCACACTATCACTTCCAGCTTTTTAGTACTTACTCAGAGATAAAAGTCTCACAAACATGTTCTTCCAGGACTGGCTTTGAACTGAGATGTTCAGATCATAGCTTCCTGAATAACTAAGATTACAGGCCTGAGCTTCTGGAGCCCATCATAGTAAATTTGTATTCTCTTTAAGGAGTTGTACAAAAAAGGTTTCAATTCAACCCATCAATTTTAAAATTTTTTGAATTTTATTTTGTTATATTTAAGTAGCTCTACAAAGGTTTTGTTTTGTTTTGTTTGTTTTTGGTGCTTGTCCTGGGGCTTACACTTAGGGCCTGAATGCTTTTTACTCTACCACATGATCCATAGCTCCACGTCCAGCTTTTTGGTAATTAATTGGAGATAAGAGTCTCACTAACTTTCCTTCCCAGACTGGCTTTGAACTGCAATCCTCAGATCTCAGACTCCTGAGTAGCTAGGATTACAGGAATGAGCCACCAGCGCCCAGCAAGAGGTTTCAATTCAACATGTCAGTTTTTGAGCACCATACATTTTGACCAATGTCACCACTTTCATCATTCTCCCTCTCTCTCTCAACCCCACCCTTCCCCTCAAGTGACCTGGTTTCATTTTCACTTATGTACACTGAATATTAGAACTATAATTACCCACCCTTTTCTTTCTGTATTTGTCTGCCCCTACTCTCCTAGATTAATTTTTACAGAAAGTTTTCCTAAATCCCTAATGATTTTCCCTGCACCCACTTGATAGATGTTACAGTTAACTAAAGAGACCTCCCTCTAGCCCTGAAGGGCTCTGTGCTCCCCAGTCCTGCCCTGGTTTTCTCCAGTGCCTATTCCCACCTGTCCCATCCCTGACATACATACTGGTCACCATGTAAGGCTGTGCACACTCCACATACGCCAGGTCTTTCTGGTTCTTCTGCAAGGCATGAAGAAATTTATTCATTAGGATGTCATATGTGCTATGCTCTACTCATAACTCTTAGGAAAACTGATGTGTAGATTCAACCACATTTAATAACCATTATTAACATTTAAATTTTGTGACGAAGTCAGAATCAAAATAGAAACATAGGTATTAGTAGCATCCTTAAGACAATTAATAAAAGGCAAGTATACACATATTAAATGTATTAGTTATGTTGATTTGGTGGAGAGGGTCCAGTACGAGGGTTTGAACTCAAGCCCTTGTTTTTGCCCAGTTGGAACTCTTATCACTTAAGCCACATATCTAACCCTAGCTTTTACTGGCTATTTTTGAGATACAGTCTCAAGGATGTTTCTGCCTTGTAATCATGATTGTCTGGATCTCAGCCTCCTGAGCAATTAGGGTTATAGACATGAGCCACCATCAACAGACTAAGTATCTATTTACTAGAATATTGAAAGCATAACTTTTATGTTGCTGTTGTTTGTGCCAATCCTGGGGCTGGAACTAAGGGCCTGGGGATTGTCCCTGAGTTTTTTTTTTTTGCTCCATGCTAGTGCTCTACCACTTGAGTCACAGCTTCCCTTCTGGCTTTTTTTTAGTGGTTAATTGAAGATAAGAGTCTCACAGTGGTCTTTCCTGCCCAGGCTGGCTTTGAACCTTGATCCTCAGGTCTCAGCCTCCTGAGTAGCTAGGATTACAGGCATGAGCTACAGGTGCCTGGAGAAAGCATAACTTTTTGCCTGGTCTTATGACACAGTATTGTGCACTTAGCAAAGATGTAATTTAAAATGTCATAATGATCTAGCAAATAGAGTAAAGAATTTCAGAAATAAATTATTCATACTCAAGCAGCTGATTGCTCATCAAGACTAAGACAAGAGCAATGCTATCAATTTATAATCAAGTGCTATTATTTTATTATGTTTTGTGACATTCTGTTCTTCTTGTTTTTTGCTTGTTTGTTTATTTTTTGCTTGGTCATAGGAATTGAACTCTGGGCCTGGGCACTGTCCTTGAGCTCTTTTTTGCTCAGGGCTAGCGCTCTACCACTTTGAGCCACAGAGCCACTTTTCAGTTTTCTGGTTTGGAGACAAGGATCTCACAGACTTTCCTGACTGGGTTGTCCTTGAACCACAATCCTGGGTAGCCAGGATTACAGGCATGAACCAACAGTGCCTGGCTTACAACATTGCTTTCTTTGGAGCCAACAGCCATCTTATTGTAAATCAGACAGAGCCTGACTGTTGAATGTAATACAGGGGAGTCTAATTTGGGAGTCGGTGGGATGGAGTAAATCTGTCACTCCTAACAGCATCCTGTAAGGTCACTGTTTTTGTCTTTTTATATTTAATTCATGGGTTCAACTTAATGAATGACTATATATACATATCTAATCATAACTTTATGATCCTCATATCTCATGAACTAACCATATGCATGCCATTTAGCACAAGTGGTAATATGGCAAAAATAGAGATAACGAGAGATCAGTGCAAAGGTGTTTCTTGATAGTCAGAAGCTGCCACCATAAAAAATAAAAGAAACCTTCATTTATTGGAATTGTTCATTGGATTCTCATTTCTTTTCCTGATCAGGAATCATCATCATGATGTCCATGTGTAAAGAGGTGCACGTCTATGAATACCTCCCATCTATCCGCCAGACAGAGCTTTGCCACTACCATGAGCTCTACTATGATGCGGCCTGCACTCTGGGCGCCTACCACCCTCTGCTGTACGAGAAGCTCCTGGTACAGCGCCTGAACATGGGCACTCAGGCGGATCTACACCACAAGGGCAAAGTGGTCCTGCCCGGCTTCCAGGCTGTGCATTGTCCAGCCCCTAAATCTGATGATGGTCACTCTTAAGAAAGGGAATCTTGAGAATCACTGTGCAATAAGGTACTACTGTAGTCCTCCAAGTTACAAAAATATACTTGAAGCTAGATTTTAAGCAATGTAGTGTTGAGTCTTTAAACTGTAATTCAGTGGTGGCCATGATAACTCTGTTCTTCCTAAGCCATGGAATATTTATTACTTCTTTGAGTATAGAAATGGAATTTCAAGTACTCAAGAAAGATGCAAAAAATAAAATTAAGAAAAAGACCACATAGAAAGCAAATTGTTTTACCATGGACACAATACCTCCAAAACTGTTAGCCTTCTTGTAGGCTGGGCTACCCCCTATCAGGGTTGGTTCCAACAACAGGCTGTGGTGATAGTGCCATTAACAGGCAGTTTCTGTATAGAAAAATTCAAGTTGAGGTCCAGTATCTAGAAAGTCACTTCTACATACATTCCTTAATAAAGGTCCTGGATTTTAGGATGAAGGTCTGGATTATCACTCAGACATTTTTTGTTTTGACAACAGAAATTCCCCTTATAGCTTATCAGTTTCTAACTATCACATTCTCCATCTCTGCTTTCCCATTTCCCACCAGATGCTTCTCCCTCTGTATCATGACAAATTTCTAAAACTATAGCTTATCAGTCCTAAATAGTCCAAGGGAAAGCCAAATGCCTGACAGGCACACTGTTTCCCTGTGGTACTTCATGACCTAACCAAGATCGCATTACCGGCTAGTATACAGATCCACAGGGCTCTAGAGTCACCCTCACCTCCCTAGCTCTGATGTTTCCATCCGTTTCTTCTGGTTTACAAGTCCATCCTACAGTTCTTACATTGCCATATAACAAATGGTGCAGGCTTATGGGGAATTTTCTTGTTCCTTACAAATGGAAATGGACTTTGGAGTCACCATTCTTGAGCTGCAATAGACACATACCTATGTGTCTTTTAATAGAGATTTCTTATAGCCTTGAGCTATTGAAAACTTGGCAGTTGGGTGCTCTAAAGTTTTACAAATTCTTTCTATTGGCAAATGTAGAAATGCAATCCTTTTTGTTCATGGGCATGGTTTATGTAAACAGCATGGCAGAGCCATGTAATGAATAAAATTCAGTGGAAGCATTTCTCCTTAATAATAAGAAATACATCTGTGTTCAGGTTAAAAAGCAAGGGAAAATTTTCATCCTAAATTGTTAGCTATATCCGGGTGTGTTAATCTTAACTTCTGTCACTCCTACATTAGTACCTCTCTGATTCTTCTGTGCTACCTCTCTCCAGTGAAGATAGTTCAACAGAAGCACTTTGGAATATGTAAATTAAACATGCCATTATTTTCATACCAAACCAAAACGTTTCTCAGCGGTAGGTGCAGTTTAGACTTTCTTTGGTGAAGACAAGAGCAGCTTAATTAAATACAATTTTCCTGGCAAAATGAGTGAGTGAGTGACTGCCAGGAAAGTTTAGTGGAAAAGTGTTTTCTTTTTCTTCAGGATTGGTTTGTTCGAGAATGCTCACAGGACTGTTTTCTTGAGCAAGAGTGATTTTCAGAGCCTGACAGCTTCTATTTACTTACTCTACTCAGCAGAAAATAAGTTGGACAACAGCATAAACTCTTTGTGGCTTACTACCACTGTGAAGTAAAAGGATTCAAAAAGTTTCTCCTTATGACAATATCTGATAAAAGTCCATTTGAGAGCTTCATTACTAAGTTTATGAAGAGGGATAGCTAGCTGTCTCCTATGCACTAACTTATATCTCAAGTAGCATAAGGTTCTTTGTAATTTCCTGAAAGAGCATGATCTTGCTGCATTTGTGTGAGTGATAATTTCCATAACTCTGAATACAACGAGGAAGCTGGACTATAGGACATATATCTCCTCCTAGCATCCTTGCATCGTTTGAGAATCTTCCAGGCATTGATATTTTATTACTCACATTATTAAAGTTCCTTTTGTAGTCTTCCAAGTGACATCCTAGCCTTACCAGTATCCCTATAATCCAGGACAATCCCCTTTGGTCACAAGAAAATTTGGTTTGAAAATAACTATTGAAGGCAGTATAAATATGCAAGTTCAAAAGAAACTTCAAAAGTTTTCAAATAGCACTCTTTATGGCACATTTAAAAGAGTAATCCCAGCATTCTTTATAGAGATTATTGACAAAAGAGCAAAAAGGAAATCTAATTAATTTTTAAAATTTTATTATGACTCTTGAAGACTCTAGAATTGGTTAAACATTCCAAAAATGGTGCATATGTTAATAGCATTGGTTGGGCATTCTTATGTTTAGAAATTCAAATAATTTAGGTTCAGATTCTTACATAGTGATGTTCAATGTCATGTCTGCTGCTAATATTAGCCAAATCATCCTCAGTTGTGATGTTTTACTAGACATTGATTAAAATCATACATGCCTCATTTACTGAGCTCCAGTAAACACATAGCCCTTCTGTGGAATAGCTAATACTAAATGGCATCTCTCCCTCAACCCCTTTTCTTTCTGGTTCAATCCCTTCCAGAACTCTTCATCCTCTTTAGCGAAGGGAAGCTGAACAAGTCCTCACAGTGTAACCTGAAGTGATCAGGCATTTCTTCTACTCTCACGAGTACATCACATTCCCTTGCATTTCAATATAACTTCACTCCATCCATTGTTGTTGCTATCATAAAATCCCAGACGTCACCAAGAATGACAATAACAATTCAAGGTAGATTCTCCCTACTTTGTTTTTCCAGGTGCTCACCTGATGCAGGAGGATAATGTCTATTGGATATGAGATTCTCAGTCCTAGACTGTTCCCAGAGATAACAATGACGGATCCATGTGGCTGCCCTTCCTGTAGAGGATAGATGCTCAGGGACCAGAGGTGGTCAATTCAAAGTTGCATATCAGCAACTGAGTGTGCTTTAATAGGCAAGTGAAGGGCCTTCACACAGGTTTGATTTTTGTGCTTTTCCTTGTCTTTCTGACAGGACATAGAGTTCAAGGTGTTCTGTCTCACAAATAACACTTCCTATGGATCTTGTCCCCTTGGTCACTCAGTCTGAAACCTAATCAACCCTCAACTCTCCAGTAGCCCTCTATCATTATAGCCAAACATCTAGACAAAAGTTCAGGTAATTGTCAGTATTTTCCAAATTGGGAAATAAAAGGACCTGAGTCATTCTATTACACGCTTATAAGCTATTTAATCCTGAAGACCATAATTATACCTACGATATTGGCTGACCTTTGGGAGTGTAAGAAACAATGTACTACTGAGTTAACCTGGTGATGTTTAGTATGTATTAGGCCATATCAGTCTTAGACGATGGATAGAAGAATTTCTTTATGCACAAATGGCATGATTACAGTTCTGTAGGTTTTCTTACGCATCAGCACAGTGATTGTGGTCAAGATTACTTCTTCCCATTTGGGCTTCGTTGTGGAAAGAGTCAGAGAAAGGGAGAAAGGAAGGGCTGAGGGATTATGGACAGATACATGATTGAGTATGCAGGACACAGTCTCTGAATATGTTTAGCATATTAACCTGTTTGATTTCTGATTCTTTGACAGTTTAGAACTGTTGCCTTGTGGTTACACAGCTGATGAAGGCAGCTCCATTTAGAAACTAATTCCTTAGATAAAATGTGCCTGAGTTTAAGCTAGTTTTTCTACTCTGGTTATTTCTTTTGTGAAATTCTTCTGCATGTTTCTGTCACTTGGACATTATTTAAACACTTGATAAATGGAAAATGTTTCTTTGATGGTTCAAGGAATGAAGTATAAATTCTGAATCTTCTTTTATTAAATGAATGAAGCCTTCAGTAAGAAAAAAAGCAATCCAGCATATTCTCTCTAACTTTAGCCTAAGGAAATTTGAAGAATTAAAGACACTGATATAGTTCTTACTCTAGCATAGAAGTGTGCATGTAGATATAGTTATATAATTATATACACATATCTACACACATGATTGCTTTTATATTGTCTTTTTCACTCATCTTTATGATGAAATCTTTACAAAATAAGTTTTATTTTAATTACGTAAGCACTAAATTTTTCAGAGGAGGATTACATCCTATGTCCTTATGTTAAAAAAGAATTCAGTCCTCTATCTTGTGCCAATGTCATATTCTACATATCTCTATCATATCGAAAAATTTGAGTAAAATATTTAAAAGGAATTATGAAGATAGTATTGTTTCCTAATCTTAAGTTTTATTTTAACTCTGAAATTTGAAGAGAAGTTTATCTGTATCTCATAGCTTTTACAGGATTAGGGGAAGAAACATTTACTGGTTCTATAGACAATAGTCTTCTAACTATTTAGTTTTCAAGCAAACAAAATGCATTAAAATCTGACATTTATAACATATCTTGCTCTGCTCTCATGAAACTACGTATGAAATCCTTCCAGTGAAAACCAGTGAACTTTTCTAACAGCTTTGGGAGTTTTTTTGTATGATAATTTTTAAAATGAAGTGTGTACTCTTCAAACTAATCAAGGCTTAAAGTTTTCCAGGAATTGCATTTTAGAAGTGTTTGTATACATTTTAACACTTTGATATTTTCTATTTTGGTTTTTGTATATTTTTATGTATACACAGTGTACAGACTTTTTCTTGTAAATAAAACATGTTTTCATTTGTGTAGAAGTTTCTCTGCTTTAATTTGTAGAAATGAGAGACAAAAGAATGAACCATTTAGCACAAAGGCGAAATTAGAAAGGTGATTAGAAAACCCAGTGATAAAAGAAAGATGCCACATACCTTCAAACTATACATACCATGGAAAGAAAGGTAGGTAGATATCTCTTCTAGGGGTTCATGGCCATGCATCAAAGTAGCTACATCAACCCCAAGCAGAAGGACATATATGGGGTTAACACATTTTGACGTTAACTTGTAATCCAGCATTTGGAAGTATTTGTTATCCTTATTAATTTATTACTCTTCCCAGCTTGCTGGGGCCTTATGTCACAGAAAACACAAACAATTTATTAGAGCAGAGAGTAGACAGAGCTGAGTCATCCACAGCCAGCAATGGTGTCAAATTAGCCTTGTCATTCTCATACTTGTTACCATGAGGTGAAATGTGTTGATCAGGCTTGTAGAGAGTCTTGAGTCATCCTCTGTCCTTTGTCAAGATATTGAGTGTGGGGGCAGACATGAGCAGCTGGGGAATAGGGTGTCCAGGGATAATTACAATGAATCAGAGATCCCTCTCAGCCTTCATGCAAAGAGCCATTTTTCTCCCAAGATGGCAGCTTTCTTCCAGGTGATTAAAACAGACCTGGCTCCAGCAGCCTTGTCAGGAAGGGCAAGGGGGAAGACGCAGCAGGGGGCGGAACAACCCAGAGGTGTGACTGACATGTGAGCATCTGAAGGGCATACTCTGTGTGTGTGTGTGAGTGTGTGTGTGTGTGTGTGTGTGTGTGTGTGTGTGTGTGTGTGTTTGTGTTCCAAATACTGCCTAGAAGCTCCATAGAAGGAAAAGGAATTTACTGTTGGATAGGAAGCACTCCAAGAAATAAGGAGGAACCAGAGGTGTCTCCAGCCTAAACAACGGTATGAATTTATATGGAAACAAGTTAGAATTTTGAATTTGCACTCTCCAGCCCTCTCTGGATAGTAGCAGTAGCAGGAGCTGCAGAATCCAGGCAACTCCTTCATCACAGAAACCACTATGCTACATGATGCTGTGTTGCTGGGAAAGGGAAGGTTATGATGATCTGGATAATTTTTTTTTTTTAGATTGAGAAGGAGGTGGGAATAAAGAATAGGTAAGGAAAGTAGACGTTAAAGTGAGAGGGAATGAAAAGAAAGGTGAAAGAATCCTGGCATTATTTGCATATCAAAGTCACTGATTCAGAAAGTAAACTACCTAGTGACAAAAATGCAGCCAGTTAATCCAGGGGACTACAATGAAGTACTGTGACCAGAATTCTGGTGCTTAGAGGTAGGCAGGGAAGACCCCCTTTACTGGCTCTCCTAATCTCGCATTGCCTACAGCAAGAGTTAGCAAACTGACCAAGGAATGACTTTTATAAATGACGTTTTGCTTGGGGGATGGGGAGGTTGGGGATTTAGCTCAGTAGAAGAGCGCTTCCCTGGCAAGTGCAAAGCCCTTAGTTCAATCCTCAGCTCTGAAAAACAAAAACTGAAAAACTAGACGTTTCATTGGAACCATAGACTCATTCACTTTCATATCTGTGGTTGCTTTCATTCTACAAAGGCAATGTTGAGTCATTAGGAAAGAAATTATAAAGTCAAACCTAAATGTTATTATCAAGTCTTTTACAGAAAAATAATTGACCGTCCTGACCACAAATGCTGAGAACTCTATGGGCCAGCCTATGGCATAGGGTGTGCTGATGATTCTCACAAACCCATCTGCCAAGATAGATGTTCTATGAGTCCCAGGAAAGTTGGGGCCAAAGAGGTTAAGTTGTCAGCCTGCCATTACAGAGCTAGGGAATGACAGCTCTGAGCTTGGACTTAGATTTTTAGCCATTAAAGCAGCCCTTCCATGTCTCATTGCATCTTATCTGTAAAGCATGAGGTTGAATTCCATCCTTTCTAAGAGAACTTCTAGTTTCTGTGAAGAGTTTTTCAAGACCCAAATGCCAACAAACACACCAAGAGCCTGGCTTTGGAGGACAAGAACACAGTTATACTTTGTGCAATGACAGCTCAGCAAATGGGTGAGCACATAGACAAACACACAAGCCATATTCTAGGTACACAGTGGGCCACACCATCTGTGTCAGTAAGTATGCTCAGTAAGTATGCTCACCTACATGGAAATTGCATCATTTCAATGATGAGACACCAGCTGAGAAACTGATCAGAAAAATCTCAGTAAAGGAGAAATCAATGCCTTGGAAAATACCAATCCTATTGACTTCCTTTCATCCCAAGAGTAGAGAAAGATAAAATTTTAAAAACAGCACCAAGTCCCTTGGTTGTTTTTAAAACACTGCTGGTGAAGAGATTAAGGAAGATGATTCTTTTAATTGTGAAAATACCATACAGAGGGGTTACAATTACATGGGCAAGATAATGAGTACATTCCTTATCAAGCATTGTTGCCTCCTCCTTTGTTTCCCCTTCCTATCCCTTCCCAACTCCCTTCCCTCCCCCCTATTACCCCCCTCCCTACCCCCCACCCCCCGCCAAAGTTGTAAAGTTTGTTTTCAACGTAACGACTTGTACATCTCATTGTTGCAAAGGGTCCACCTGTATCCCTCTTTAAACAATTTGTTTTTCCTTTCCCCTCCACAAATTATACTAACATCAAATACAGTGAAAGCAAGGGTTATACCGTGGGGGAGGAAACAATCACATGAAAGAAAAAACATTTTAATACTTATCTTGGGGTTCATTTCACTTAAAATCAACTTATCTGACCTTTTCTGCTTGACTCAGACATATACTAGATATTGCAAATAGGAGAAACAATGGGGCCTATGTTTCTTTGGGCCTGGCTTACTTCACTTAATATAATTTTTTCCAAGTCTTTCCATTTCCTAACAAATGGGGCAATGTCATTCTTTTTGATGGAGGCATAGAATTCCACTGTGTATATATAACACATTTTCTTTATCCATTCATCTACTGAGGGGCATCTGGGTTGGTTCCATATCTTAGCTATGGTAAATACCCTGCACCACAATCAACTCCAAATGGATCAAAAACCTTGGAGGCAAAACAGTCACTCTGAAAACATTACAGGATAGAATAGGAAAAACCCTAGGTCTCCTTGGCACAGGCCAAAATTTTCTTAATAGAGACCCAGAAACACAACAAATCAAAGAAAGGTTAGACAAATGGGATTACATGAAATTACAGAGCTTCTGCATGGCAAAGGACATAGCTAGCAAGATCAATAGAAAGCCCACGGGTTGGGAGATCTTCACTAGCCATACAACAGACAAGGGTCTCATATCTAAGATATACCTGGAACTCAAAAAATTAAATCCCCCAACAACAAATCCTCAAAGAAACAACTGGGCTAAATAAGTGGGCTAAAGACTTAAAGAGAAACTTCTCTGAAGAGGAAAGAAGGATGGTCAATAGACACATGGAGAATGCTCAACTTCCCTAGCCATAAAAGAAATGTAAATCAAAACAACATTGAGATACCACCTCACCCCAGTTAAAATGGCTATAATCACGAACTCTAATAACAACAGATGCTGGAGGGGATGTGGACAGAAGGGAACCCTACTGCATTGTTGGTGGAAGTGTTAACTTGTTCAACCACTTTCGAAAGTAGTATGGAGATTCCTCAAAAGACTCCACATAGAGCTCCCCTATGACCCAGCAATCCCAATTTTGGGCATTTGCCCAAATGATCACAAACAAGACCATACTAAAAGAAGATGATTTCAAACTGCTTTTATTCCTATCTGCAAACTCGTTTTGGAGAGAACAGGTGAGGAGGCTCTGAAAAGTCTAGAGGAAGATATTCAGCAGCCTGGGCAGCCTACTTGACTTGTGATGATGAAGAGCCAAAGCCATATTGATGAGACAGTTGGAAATCACTCATGACAGAAGTAGAACCATGGACCACCTCAGGGATTATATCTGTTTCGTGCTTTCAAGGGAAAATTCAAGCAAGGATCTCGGATTTACATGCAGCCCTCAAGTGAAGCACAACCTCCTGCTCACATTGATAGGGTCTTAAAATCAGCTTTACCCTGGCAGGCAAAGGTGACCTTTGAGCTACATACAACACAGCCTAGGTAGATATTGACTAGTCAGGACTTTCTCTGAAAATGTGAATCTCTTATTTGCATGAGGAGCTTGGTACTGACCAATTAGAACTGGTTTTTCTGCATCGGTTTGATTTCCTTATTTACATCAGATAATCTGGATGGGAAATAAGGTGGGAATTTCTCCTACACAAAGCACCTCTTTCCCTTGGTTCAGGAGTCACAGGTCTGACTTATTTTTGCTCAGAGCTATGTTTCCCACTTAATGTCTTACTGGTTTCTTTGAGTTCACAGTTCTTTCTACCATTTTTGGAAAACTGGCTCTGGGAACAATAACTTACAAATTTCTCGAGGAAATGTTAAACAAGAAATCACATTCTATGTGTGTGAGAAATAAAACTATTTGTTTCATAATTAAATATAATTTGTTTCATAAATTCCTTTTCCAACATAGGGAAAAAACCAGCCCTATTTTCCACTCAATATGAATCTTACCATAGTCCATGATGCTTCTGCATCACATATATTAAAACTGGAACTGCACAGAGATTGGTGTGGCTCCTACACAGGATCCACATACATCTGAGAAGCATTCCATACTTTCGGAGAACATTGTGGTAAGTGGCATAAACCAGGCACAGAATACAAATGCTTCATATTTTCAGGCATATGTAGAAGCAAAAATGTTGATCTCATAGAGATAGAACATATTAACTATGATCTTTGGAAGCTGGGAATGCACAAGTAGGGGAAAAGTATATCTCTGAGTAACTACATAGGAAGAGTAAGATCTACCGCATTCACAGTAGGTTGGTCGTAGTTCACAACAATTTATTATACATCTTAGAATAATTAGAGGAGAGGAGCTTGAGGGATACAACACAGGAGATGGAAATGTTAATTACCCTGATTTTGTTAATGCACACAGGATTTCTG